TTCTTTTTCCCCTGCCTGTTTTTAAACTGAATTCGAAGGCGCCAGAAAACAACAAACGGCGTCGGGCCGGTGTGCCGGGGCCGGGAACGCGGCGTGCGGGGATCTGTCACATGGCGGGGACCCGCACCCGGCCCGGGCCGCTGCTCTGGCCTCGGGTCGCTGCTCCTAAAGAAAACAAAGCTGCGAATGCTGCCGGGCACCTCGGGAGCGGGCGCTGCCTGGGGATCTTCTCTTTGCCGTGTAGTCTGGGTCGGAACACGAGCAAGGGAGTTGGAAGTTGGTTCTGTGCAGTTTCTGCGTGCGGCTTCTAATGGAAGCGAGAGGATCGGACTGCTTATTTAGGAAGGTCTTTCCTTAAACGTTTTCTGAAGGAGAGAGCTTCGTTCTTTTCAGATTTTGTCCTTTTCAAATACAGTCCTTTAAAGGATCCTGAAATTTTCTTCAGAAGTGACTCAACTGATAGAAAAAAGTTTGAGATATGGCAAGAGAGAGACTTGATAGTGGTTGAGATCATAGTTATAACGTAAATAACTTTATTGCTTTGATTGGGAGCTGTAGTGTTGCATGTTATTGTGCCCTTGATAGAAATAACTTTTTTTTTTTTTTTCAATTTGTTGTAAAACAACTGGTCTAGTAAGTCTTCAGTGCTACTTTGCATGTTAGCCAATCTCAAGAATGACAACTAATATTAGTAAGGTTTGGGTTTTTTTTGCACGTGGCTCTTTTTTAAATTTTATTTTCAAATAAAAAGCACTGACATTTATTTCCTGATGAATCAAGTTTCAAGTTGGTAAAACAGCTATAATACCTTTATTTCCTCCTTTTTAATGACCTGTTGCACTTTGGTAAAATGTTAACTTCTTGTTTCATACCTTTTTAAAAAAAAGGGTTTTTTTCTTTTTTTTTTTTTTGTTTCCTCAACAGGAAGGAGTGAAGACTGAAAACAATGACCACATTAATCTGAAGGTGGCAGGGCAAGATGGGTCTGTGGTGCAGTTTAAGATTAAGAGGCATACACCACTTAGTAAACTAATGAAAGCCTATTGTGAACGACAGGTATGGTTCTTGTGTGATCATCAGGAGAACCGGTGTCTGGGGGAGAGGGGATCTCCATAGAGACAGATGAAGACAGTAAAGTTTTAAAACTATGTAAATATGCAAAATTATCGTAAAGACTTAACAGAAATTAATTATGTTGTGGAAAGTGTATTGCTCTTAGGGTCTGTTACAGAGTGGACTGACAGGGTCGTGACAGGAAATGGGTAAAATAAAGATGTGTTGGTGTCTTCGTGAAATTGCATTGTAGGTGGAGGCTATTGGGAGGCGACTGTGAACTCTGCTGCTCAAAAATGCCAGTATGGAAAGGGTGGGTTAGGAACCTGCGGTATGAACTTAGGCTCGAGGGTTGAGTGATAACCGGAGGTACTTTTACAACTCTGAGTAACGTCTTGGTCTGGTCATAGACTTCCGATCTATTAGCTTAGTATTACTGTATTGAGAGAATATCGATGAGTATTCCAGAGTTTAAAGGTGTCTGATGTCTAGTTTGAGAAGGAACTTGCACGTTTAATGATGAGCTTTGTTTTTTCTCTTGCGGCCTAGTTGTCAAATTAATCCTCTGAGGGGCACAAAAAAATGTGTTTTGCTAGTGTGGCAACTGCAGCCAACCCGCTAGGTTGCAGCATCTATTGGAAGGTTTAAAAACACCTGTATAAGAGTAGTGCTGTTTAACATTTTCTTCTGAAGCTTTTGGTTAGGAAAATTTTGTCTCTGCTGTCTGTGATTTTTTTTTTTTTAATGACTGCCTTTAAAAAGTTCCATCTCTACGAAAGCATTTAGGACTGGGGAAGGTGTTTTGTTTTGTTTTGGTTTTTTAAATGCAAATATACACTAAGGAATACAATAAAATCAGTATAAAATATTGAGGTAACTATTTCACCACCAAGAAAAGCAAACTCATTCACATACGGAGTGGTAAAACCTCTTTGGTTTAGCCTTTGCCACAACAGGATAGTGATGGAAATAACAACAGGGAAGATCAGAATGAAACGTGTGAACGTGTTTTTGTATGCATGTTCTGGGGATAAAGTGGTGAACGTTTGAGGCTGTGGGCTCATTTTTCTTACCTCTGTCACACAAATTCGTGTTATATTATGTAAATCGCTGTGTATTGCTTTTTCCAAACAAAGTGCAGTTATATCTGTCTTTTTGGGAGTTTGAGGATTGGTTAATTGTAAAGTCCTGGAAAGTTCCATTTGTTCCTCAGTTACTTGGATACAAACGAAAGAAAGGTTCTAAAACTTTTCACCTAAATTTCTGCTCTGCTTTAAAAAACCAAAACAAACAAAAACCCTCAGGTATCAATTGAAGAGGAAAAAAAAATATCTGTAGAATGGGAGACATTTTTTCTGATTTTACTTTTAAGCTAGTAGGTATCCAAAGGATATTTCTGTGGAGATGGACTTGCCTTTAAGTTGTATTTCTTAGGTGCTTACTTCTCAAACTTTGTTTAAAAGCATTTGTTCTGTGTGTCTCTCAAAGTTAGATTTTGTTTGTGTTTCTAACTAGGTGTGCCCAATCTTAAAATCGTTAAGCTGCAGACTATAGATTTAATTTTGGAGAGGTGGAAGCTACATCTGGTACAGAATTTAGCAGCTTTATAGAATGAAGTATTGCATGTAGTAGACCTAAAATGGAAGTAACTAAACCCTGAATGATAGGTTTAGAAGATGAAGACTATTTGTGATTATTGTAAGTGGGGGGAAAAATAATCCATGGAATATACTTAATTTTTTGTGGATCCTAATCTCACCAAGGAACAGTTTTTCAGTCTGTTTTCGGCTAGCATTTATTCAGCTGATAAAGTTGTCAGGAACCTGCAAAACCCGGCACTTTTGGAATAGGAAATAAGTATTTTAAGAAACACAAGGTTGGAGAAAAAGGCTCAAACCAAATGTTGCTGTGCAAAAACGTGTTGCTGCCATGACGCTCAGCCACATGGTTTTCTTAAGATCGTGTTCTGAGTGAACAGTGCAGAATCTTAGTCATGCAAGAGACGGCATTTTGCTGTGAACTACGAAGTCTTACCAAAAAGTTTACTGATGTTCTTTATTGAAATATTTTTCCTGACAGATCAACTTCTTAATACTAATTTATTACAGTGAGCTTTCTGTTGTGTGCCACATCGGCTCTTGCATTGCTAAATGAAGGCTTCTTTCCTAGTTCAGAGATACCAGAGCAGCACCGTGCAATACACGGGATTTACTTCAAAAGTGACTTTTTAGATGCTCTGTAGAGAGAGTAGGTAGCATGGGGAAAGAAGCAGACATCAAGGTTCTTGGTTCTGGTTGTGTCCTCAAACTCCATTCATCATCCTTTGCAGAATGTAGTGTGCTGTAGAATACCTTCGAAAACTTACTTGTGAATTTGAAGCTTTTGTTATTAGTAGAAGGAATTGTTGCTCCTTAGTTATCTTTCTGAATCTCTTGGCTCAAGCGAGACTGAGAAGTAGTCTTTTGGGGGTGGAAGAAGTCAGCAAAATGGCTGTTGTGTGGTAGACATGCTAGTTCAGAATACGGTTCAGTAGTACTTTGATCCATGGATTTCTTACTAATAGGAATTCACAGTCAAAAGGTTACCACTGCCTACTCTTTGCTGCGGCAGACTAATAGATGGTGGTTGCATTTCTGGAAAAAAATATAATCTTAGAATACCTTTTGCTTTTGGGGAAGATCAAAAAGGAGTAGTGAATATTACTGTTTGACATTCGTTACCTGAAGTGTTGCATCTAATTTTTAAGAGAATTATTATTAAAAATAACTATAAAAATCCTGGCCTTTGGGGTGAGACTTGTGTACTAGAAATTGCTTTATTTTAACTGGCAGTCAGTGGGGGCACTGTTGCTTCTCTTAGCTGCTGGACACAATACAGTTTTTAATACAAAACAGATTGCAAGGATTTGTAGTGAAATGCCTTAAAGTCAGTGCGTGAGGGGAGTACGAAAACTGTATCGTGCATTATGAATGGTGGCTTGTAACGATCGTGCTGCAATTCCAGTGTCAAGTGAAAGAGAAAACTGCTGAGTACTTTTACACCAGACTTACTTCCCTTTGTGTTACTTCTCTTTGTCCAGGGGTTGTCAATGAGGCAAATCAGATTCCGGTTCGATGGGCAGCCAATTAATGAAACAGACACACCTGCACAGGTAAACCTCAGAAGCAAGACCAAAGACCTGTATTTGAAATTTACTGCAGGAGTTGATGCTTCTGTTTCGTATAAAATACTTGCATAGTTGTATATATTAGTGTATTTACCATTCTTTTGGTTAAACTAGTTTAGAATTATTGGAAATGGAGTGTGAGCTTCTGCAGCGTTTTGAATTATAAGTCTGTATCACTGTAGTAATAAAATACACAAATGAAGTACAGGGTACAGATGGTGAGTCTTGTAAAACTGTCACTTTATTGAGTCACGGCTCTAAGATAAGAATCGGTAAGTTAAGAATTGGGTTTTTCCTGAAGCAGTGGCTTTATTTATTTATAAAAGCTTGCCAGGATGGTATTGGAGATCCTATTTGCAAACTTGCAGTTGTAATACTAAAGTAATTTTCTGTTATTTGTAACTTGAAGCTGTTTCAGCGGCGTAAACGTTAATGAATACTGTGAAGTTTGGGTCGTCTGTTTGTAACTGGTTAAAAGGGAGGCCATTCCGAGAAGAGACTGTGACTCCTTGAGTATTTTTCTGTACTGCTCCACGTAGCTGTGTTTTAATCAGCCTTTCCAAGTGGTACAGTTTTACATGCTTTTCAGAACCACTTGTTATAAAAGAAGGGACTCCTGGTTTTAGAAGGTTTATAGTAGATCTGCATTTTCTAAGCAGTTGGTCCGAAGAACGTGCCTCTCATGGGCACAATTTACGCAACTTTTTAGCTTGGAACACTGATAATTGAGGCAACAGGGTGCTTTTCTCTCCATCCATGTTAAGCTGAAGCTAAGGATCAGTCTATTTATAGCTGTGGTAAATGCCATAGACCAGTTTGTTTTCCTGGAGCAGAAATTGAGACTGTTCAGAAATATAACTTAGTTATAGCAGCTCCTTCAGTCTTGGTGCAGACTTTGTCAGTAGGTAGTGCTAACATCCCAGGAATACCGACTGTTAAAATTGCGGTGAAAAAAGATTTATATTCATGAAGTATTGCTTTCCTCACTGGCAGTTTGTTTCATTGTTGACCATGTAAGGTATTTTTAGGTTTTTTTCTGCTTGCTGGTGCTCAGTTTTGCTGTCCCGTTGGGTTAGGGGCCTTAATTATAGTCTCCTTTCTTCAGTGCTGTGGCTGAAGCCCATTTGCACATTTGAACAGCAGCAGCAAAGTGGAATTGTGGCAGTGTTCTAAGGTAAACTGAGGAAGTAAATAGGCGAAAGAAGATGCAATGGCAAAGTAGGCAACAGAATTAAAACGTTATGAATGCTGATCTTTTCCATAGGAGTCATGCAATGCACCCTGAAGTTGCCTATTAGAATTCATTCTAGGACAACAGCTATCAGCTGGCATTTTTTTTTTTCCATGTGATTTCTTTGCTTTTGAGTTACAGCAAGGTAGGTTAAATGTACAAAGCGATGATGGTGGAGGGGAGCAGGGCTGGTCTGGTTAGGTTGCATAAAAAAGTAAACACGGAGGTAGGAAATATAAGAACACCCCAGCGTATAGTAGGGATCTGAGAAGAGTTGAAAACCTTTTTCTCTCTTTTTCTGCTGTAGTTGGAAATGGAGGATGAAGATACAATTGATGTGTTCCAGCAGCAAACAGGAGGAGTTTACTAAAAAAAACAAACAAACACACAAAAAAAGAACCTGCTACTTTCCTCTCCAGAACTGTGCTCCCACAGGCGACACATCCACAATTAGAAAAATGAGACTTGGTTCAGCCACATCCTGACTACTGCAGTATAGTTTTCTCTCTTCTCTCTCTGATTTTTTTCCTATTCCTTCTCTTGTACATAAAGTAACTGGTGTATGTGCACAGACATAATGCATATTTTTTTTAACTAAATGGCCAATGGTATGTTTTGATCAACATTTAATGGAGATGGGGTGGGAAAACAAACTGGTTCTGTGAAAATGCCCCTTTCTCCGTTAGTGGCATGCTCCTTCTACTTTTATCTTTATATTCCAGTAAGTTATTTTGCTCTCACTGTTTAAAAACAAAAACCTTGCATACCTTGTTTGATTGGATAATTTCAATGTTTTTCTTTTATCATTGTAAAACCAAGGACAATTTTATAACTTTTTTGTACGTAGCTGTTACATGTAGAGCAATCTCTGTCTAAGTAGGGGTAAATTACTCTTTAAACAAAAATCCTAGATAGTTTTCCCTTCAAGTAAAGCGTCTTGTTGTTTAAATAAACTTCTTGTTTAAAATAACCAGTTTTCTTTATTTTTCTGTGGAATAATAGTACTCAGCACTTTGTGTTTCTTTCTCTGCAGCACTTTATGCTTCTCAGTTCTCAGCTTTGTACGCGGTAAGTAAGCATAATCCCCCTTTTACAGTCAGAAGACTGTTGGAAGTGAAAGGCTTCCTTGAGACCTCTCAGTCAGTAGTTGAACTGGAAGTAGAAGTCAGTTTTGTCGTCTTTTGATTTTATTTTTTTTGTGTGTGTGTATGATCTGCTAAGCCAAAAATGTTTGATTAGGCAAACTGCAAAATACTGGACTACTTACTGATGCCTTTGGGTTGAACTCTTGTGTCAGTCTATAATAGAAACATCAATATTGTTGTTACAATAGCTTATTTAAAACTCTGTATTTGAATGCTTTTTGATGTAAGCATTAAGTTAAAAAAGAGCAAATAATTTCGTTAACCATTCAGTTTACCGTGGTATCAAATGGGAAATGCTTGGAAATGTAAAGCAAAAATAAAAACTTGAGTTCTGTTTTCGGGTGTATTTAGCTATGCTGGTGTGGATTCCAAGCTCTGCTTTGCCGTTGTGGTGTTCCTGCTTGTCATGGGGAGAGGCTTGAAGTACCGAAGGGAGCTAGTGACAGTGATGTTTTTCGTGAGCCTTTTCCTCAGGGCTGTTCTTGAGTTTTCTCATGGGGAAGTTTAGAGGTGGTGAAATCCGTGGACATTCATGAAAGATTATATACCTGTCTACTCAACAGCCCCAAAGCATTCTCTGATGTCCTAGCAATGTTCTAATACTAATATTTTGTAGCGTTTGCAGTAAGTTAATGCTCTTTCAGGTATTAACTTGTTAGCTGAGCTCACTTTTTGGTGGTAGTTTTTGTGATAGTTAATTTGAGAGGCGATTATTACATGCTAGGCCTGTGCCTGCTGGGCCTGGAAGTTCTTTAACTTTGTGGCAAAACGATGGGTCTGTGCATTTAGCTGATGGATAATGACCTATTCGTTTTCTGTCACAATTTTAGCTCATTTGGTATTACATTATTTGCGTCTAATGTAGCTATAAGAAAAATAACATTTGGTTTTGGAGTTGCTTTTGACTATGTAGCTGAAGGATGTAATCTGCTGTATGCCACTGGTTTAATTCTGCTAAGCAGGTTATTTGTTATTCTGGTATCTATGTTGTAGACCTCCGTGGTATATTGCAAGGTTGGAATTCCCTGTTGTGAACAAGTGTTTTCATATCCAAACCCACAAAGGCCTGGAAAAATCTTCTTTGAAATAAAGGGTGGGGGGTGGAGGATCTATTTCAACACCTTTCATAGGTTGGACATGGAATACGTTCCTCTGGCTTTAGAATCTCTGGCTGTCGACCTGGCTAGACTTCTGATAACAGTGTATAAAATTCTTTCAACTTGATGTCATGCCAGGACTTTTCCCAGGAGAAAGCTGTCTTTATCTTGTTTGGCCAAAAAAGATGTTTGGACTTGCTTTAGTTTCTGAAGAAAGGGTGAGGTCTCCTTGAATACAGGGGTTTTTTTCAGCCCAGCTTAAGACTGTGAAGCTCAAAACCCTGTTGTATCTTGCCCGCTATTTTTCTTTCCTGAGGCAATAGAAGTCAAGTGACAGGTACCGAACAACATGCTGTCAACAACAATGTCTGAATTTCCTAAATTAGTAGAGTGGTGCTTCATCTGTCATGAACTTATGGGCAGGATTCTTGTAGTGTTCCATTAAGAAAACGAGACCATTTAACATGAATTTTGATTAGCTTACCGAAATTCCCCTGTGCAAAAATGGAAAACATAGGCGTTTGTACCTTGGAATTGATGTGGCAGCTTTGGAAATACACCTTAATTCAGCATAATTGGAGATTTCCTCTAGTGTTTAGCAACAGGCTATTAAAAAAAAGGAGAGGGGCATTGATTGCCTAAATTTTTCCATTTCTGACATCTTTCTGCTCTTCACCTGAGGTTGCGTTTCATTTCTGAAGTAATTCCTCTAACAGTGCTGAATAGTGTTTGTGTAAGATTATGGTGACTGCAATCAAAAACTGATAAAATGATCTTTTCTGAGAGGTGTTTTCTTGATAAGATAAAAATCAAGAAACTCCCAAAGATCTTAAGTGACTTGGTTTCTTAAGAGCCCCAAACATTTCATTTCCATTAATCTAGCAAACTGTTAGGTGGACTGGCACGTTCGGGTACATAACGCGTTTGTGTACACGGCAGTGCAGAAATACCAACCTTTTCTTTAAAAACTATTTTTTTTTAGAACTCTTCTTGCATGATCTTGCAAATATCCTGCTTATGACAGAACTCGTTGCTTGTCAGTACTGCTCCTCTGCTGCTAGCGAATGTACCTGTTGGTTCCTGTTTGCTGGGACCTCGGTGGTTTTGCTGTGACTTCCCTGAGGAAGCTGCTGCTAGGGATGGTGATTCAGAAGTGCTGTGAAGTACAGGGATATAAACAATTCGGATCAAATTATTTGGAGTTCACTCAGCCGTTGGGCCTGGCTCGATTTGTAACAGTTCTCATGTTTACGCTGGTAGCCTAATGGGCTACTAGAAATCCACGTGTCAGAGGATAAAGGAAAACTGGGCAAAGAGGTCTTGTCATGCTAGTTGGAGGTAAGATTTTCATGTTTATTAAACAGCTGGGGTCTTTCAGAGCCTGGGCAAATTATGTTACTACCCACAATTTTCAAATAACGTGTTCTAAAGTGTTTGCCGTGCCAGGTAGTCAGTGTTCCTCTTGTGGTTTTTAAATGTAAAAGAATGGGGTAAGTCATAATCAGATACAATAGTCTAGCGACTTCTTGTGGGTGGTAAGACCTTGCCTTGAGTGTGTGCTGGATCTTTAGTCCCTCAAACACTTTTAAGTTGTGGAATGGCCACTACTGGTTATTTAAAAAGATATAACCAAAACTGCTTGTTTCAGGCACCTAAAATAAGGCTTTTCTGTTCACGTCCAGGGGGCTGTAATGACAGATTGCAGCTAGTTTGGTGGGGCCCTTAGTCAACACCTGAACATCAGTGCGTTAGTGTGTCTGCAAGCGTGGATAATACCCACTGAACAGGGCGGGTGTGAGGATCGATGTTAAGTGGCCCGAGGTGCTGGTTCGGGAGGGGTTCTGGGAGTTCAAGGCTGTTCGGAAACGGAATATGCTGAACTGCCAAAGTGTAAGGAAATGCTGCAAGTGGTAATGTGAGAGGGATCCTTGTACTGGCATGTGGAGGTGTTCCCAACAAAAGAAAACCCTCCAAAGTAGTACTAAGAGAATTGCCGCTTCAAGATAACGGCAGTATCAAAACAGATACAGCGTCTATGCAAAGGTTATGGTCTAAGTAAGATTATTTTCTTGCAAGAATATTCCTTTCTAGGACCTTCACTTCATCAGTTCTGAGTCAGACAATGTAATCTAAGTGCTGTCGCTTTGTCTGTTGGATGCCGGTTCTATTGTGAGCTACTGCAACATTAATGAAAAGGTATAATGTGACTGGCTTAAAGAAAGAATACTTTCTATGCTTCAGCCAGTTGGAAAGAATTGAATTTCTAGGGAATAGCGATTTGTTTTCAAAGCTAAAAATGAAAAACTAGATGCGTCCGTCATCATCATCTGTTAAATTGAGAATGAACAATAAATTGAAGGATTTTTGTTGGAGTTTTACATTGTGGCCTCTTCTCAGAACACTTGTATCAGCTGGTGTGGTGGGCTGTTGTAAAGTACTAAGAGACAATCTAAAAGCATTTAAATAACTTGAATTATTCTTAATTATATTACTAATGTAATTAATACATTTCGTTCTCCGGATTATTGAGGTTTGTTCATTCTGGCTGTTAACTGGTTGCCAAACTGAATGTGTTCTGATAGTGAATAATTTAATCCTCCAATTTATCTTCCTCTTTTGTACTTAGTGTCAGAATGAATTGGTAGTGCAGCACTTCTCCCTGGTGGTTAGGATGTGGGAGTGAGGATAAACGGGAGATGGAAGACTGGATTTTGATCTCTGTTTCCAGTTTTTGGTTGGCCTTCAAGATGCTGAATTACAGAGGTTTCCTGGTTTCTTCAACTAGTAGCATGAAACTAGCAGTCTTACTCTAACGTGGAGATGCGGGAGGCCCAGCTGGTGTTTATGAACTGGTTTGAGTCCCTTTGAGAGGAAGAGTTTTCCCCTGTCCCTGAAGAACAGACAGGCTGGGGCAATGGGCAGAGGCCAACTGTATGAGCTGCAGCAAGGCCACGTGCCAGGTCCTGCCCTTGAGCCGCGACAACCCCGTGCAACGCTACAGGCTTGGGGAAGAGTGGCTGGAAAGCTGCCTGGCAGAAAAGGATCTGGGGGTGTTATTCAACAACCAGCTGAACATGAGCCAGCAGTGTGCCCAGGTGGCCAAGAAGCATCCTGGCTTGTATCAGCAATATTAGGAAGAGTGCGCCCAGCAGGAGCAGGGAGGTGATCGTCCCCCTGTGCTCGGCGTTGGTGAGGCCGCACCTTGAACGCTGGGTGCAGTTTTGGGCCCCTCAAGACAAGACAGATGTTGAGGTGCTGCAGTGTGTCCAGAGAAGGGCAACGAAGCTGGTGAAAGGCCTAGAGAATAAATCTTAGGAAGAGCAGCTGAGGGCACCGGGGGTGTTTAGTCTTAGGAAAAGGAGGCTGAGGGGAGACCTTACTGCTCTCTACAGCTGCCTGAGAGGACATTGTGGAGAAGTAGGTGGTGGTCTCTTCTCACAGGTAGTTAATGATAGAACAAGAGGTGACGGACTCAAGCTGCACCAGGGTGGGTTTAGGCTTGAAATTAGGAAAATTTTTTTTCACTGAAAGAGTTGTTGGGCATTGGAACAGGCTTTGTTCCAGTTGCCCAGGGAGGTGGTTGAGTCACCATCCCTTAAAGGTTGTTTAGATGGGGTGCTTGGCGATACGGTCTAGGGGTGTGCTTGGTAGAGTAGGGTTGATG